TTGAGGTCTAGATTTGAGTCTAAAAGAGAAAAAATGAAACTTTAGTAATCATTTCATTATAAAACAATTTAAAGAAAAACAAAGAAAAAACTCACCTAAATCAGTGTCCAAATAAACTGAAAAACTAACCACCTAAAAAGAAAGAAAAAAAAGAACTATTAATAACAGTTCGTTAAATTATATAAAATGTGGGAGAAAACTGAAATTAGAAAACTTACGCGTCCAAAAAGATCCAAAGAGATCTGATGAGCAAATAAATCCCATATCAAAAGTAACTCTCACAGCCGTCTAAACAAAAGAAATGAACATTAGAGAACATTTTATTAAAGAAATTAAATTTGAAAAAGGAAATATTCCAATTCCTCTTACCGAAATCTGAAATTCAAAATCCATGTGTTCACCGAAAATGAAATTCTGTAAAGAGGTTCCAACTAGCCACCTAAAAAAAGAAACAAAATAACGAAATCATAAGTAAAGTTTCGTTAAAATACAAAATTCATGTTATAAACTTACCAAAATCTAACATGTCTAAAAACTATTGAATTGGATTGAGTTTTGGGTTGTTACGTGAGAATATCCTTGAATTCATCCATTATTATCAAGGGTTGAGGGAAATTATTCAAAGAACTGATCACTTAAAAAAAAGGAAAAAAATAACGAAATGTACAATAAGTAAAGTTTCGTTAAATATGAAATCTAAGATATTATAAACATACCAAATCTAAGATCTGTCGCCTAAAAAAAAAAGAAAATAACGAACATCAGTAACGTTTCATTAAAATAAAAAAATTTAAAGAAAGTATTGTAAAATTACCAAAATGCTACACGTAAAAGAAATCCACAAGAATCGCCTAAAAAAAGACTTACAAAAAAGAAAATAAACATTCAGTTAATTAGAATGTTTCTTAAAGAAAAAAAAGAAAAAATGGAAGTTTCGTGATGAAACATACGAAACTTACCATTTTCTGAATTACTAAATTCCTAGAAACGGATCTTACAAAGAAGAAAGGAAACATTAGTAAACGTTTTCTAATAAAAAAAAATTTTTCTAAATAAATATACTTACTTTACGAAACAAATATCCCAAACCTACAAAAAAAAAGAAAGCGTTAGCAAACGTTTCCAATAAAAAAAATTAAAAAATAAATTCAAGTTTTATAACACTACAAAACTCATCATTTCAAAACTTCTAAATTCAACTTTCCGACCTACAAAAAATTAAAAGAAACGTTAGCTAATGTTTTTTAATAAAAAAATTAATAAAAATTAATTTAAAAGTTTTGAAGCAAAACTCTTCAAAACTTACAATTTCCAAAATCCCGCTGAAAGTCCTACAAAAAAAATATAGGAAATGTTAGTTATGTTTCCTAAAAAAAAAAAATTTTAATATAAAGTTTCAAAGCAAAAGCTTCGAAGCTTACCATTTCCAAAATCTGAAGTTAAAGGCCAGCTAGATGTCTAAAAATAATATAGGAAGCGTTAGAAACACTTTCCTAAAATTAAAAAAAAAATTTTAAAGTTTTGAAGCAAAACGCTTCGAAACTTACCATTTTGTTTTTTTGAAAAATTCTGGTGAGAAAGGGAAAGGGAAAGTGGAAGTGCAAAGGAAAGGAGAAGGGGAAGGGGAAAAGAATAGGAGTGAGGGAAGGGGAAGGGTGAAAGAAAGGAGAAGAAGAGAGGAGGGAAAGGTGGAAGTAAAAGCCGTAAGAAAAAAAATTAAGCTTTTTGCTAAAAAAAGCTTAATTTTTTTTTCGCTATACTACAGCATGCGTAGTGGTAATTATTAATTTGATATTACGTGATACACATGATACATAAATTAATATAAATAGAAGGCTTTTTCCCAGAAAATTTTTTTTATATCTTTTTTTTAGATGTATATATATACTCATATACACATATATATATATCTATTAATTTTAATATTTTATGAAAAGGCCCCTTCTGAAACAGGTAAAGGCTAATTAATCCTATAGGGGGAGAGACATTGCAATTATTGCTACTCCTTCCACCTGTTTATAGTAAGTAAGGTTTAGTAATAAATTAAAATTTATCATTTATGTTTATAATAATATTATAAGTACATAATTATTAACAGCATGTTAGAAGCATTTAAAAATATTCTATAAATAGCTAATTTTACTTGCATTTAAAATAATTTTAAAAGTTTAATTGTAAAAAAATTTTCCAATATTTTAAAAATATCACACTCTTAACAATAATTTTAAAGCATTATGAGAGGTTAAAATGTGCTTTAAGAACATTTTTATGATATTTTAAAAAAATTGGCTTGCCCAGTAAAGTATTTTGAGATTAAAATATTAAAATAATATCAAAGTTAATTATATTATAATAATAAAATAATAACAAAAANCAATATTAATTAAACAACTATATGTACACCGCTTTATGTTTTTATTTTTATATTAATATTATATTTTTTTTTTTACTTTTATGTATTTTATTTAATTTTTTTAATATATTACTAACATTATTACTACTATTATTTTATTACTTTTTTATATCTAACTAATATATTAATAATATTACTAACTTTTTATTATTTCTTTTTTATATTTAATAAAATAATGATAATATTACTAATTAAATTTCTTTTTTTTTACTAACCTTTTATTATTCCTTTTTTATATTTAAAATAATGATAATATTACTAATTAAATTTCTTTTTTTTTGTTTATATTTTGCTAATATTATTTTTTTTTACAAATAGTATATTATTTTATACTAGTTTTTTATTTATATTATTTATAAAAAATATTTGTATATTTAATATTATTTAATAAAAATTTTATTAATTATAAATGCATTTTAAATTCTGTTTGCAAATATAAAATATACGATTTAATTGAATAATATATATTATTTATCAGTACAAAATATGCAGTTTAAACTGGAAAAAAGTACTGTTTATCAGTATAAAATATACGGTTTATTCTGAAAAAGTATACTGTTTACAATATAAAATATAAAATAATATACTGTTTATTAGTATAAAATATACGGTTTTTCTACTGTTTACAAGTATAAAACATACAGGTAAAACTGAAAAAATATATTGTACGCAAACCGTATATATGATACGGTGTGCAGAATACTGAATATATACAGTATGTGAAAATACTGTAATCATACGGTAATAATAGAACCCTGGACAATTATAATTAAAGTCATATCTTCTATGCTAAAAATTTATCCTTGTCATCCTGAACTTACTTTTAAAGCTATAGATACAAAACTTTGTAATAATAATTGCCCTCCTATTATCTATAATTTTGTTACTTAAAAAGTAATATTTAATAATAGTAATTTTTATTTTTTTGTATATTGCTATGTATACCGATAGTGAAAAAGCATATATTTTTTTGCCAAATTTTGCCTGTGTAATGATACTTATCTCAAATTCTAATCAGTAGATTTACAAGATTTTTGGTATCAAAAGATTCTTCTCTTCAAAAGAAACATTTTTTTCTATAGTAAAAAATAATATCAACTTAATAAAATTACATGTTAAAAGAAAAATAAAGTTTAAAACATAGTAAGATATGACCTCAATTATAATTATCTGGGGTCCTGTAATAATACTATAAATATACTGTTCGCAAAATACGAAAATACAGTATACTAATTGTATATATATTTTTTATAGAGCTATTAATAGCATTTTTTGATTCTGAAAGATTATTAAAATCTAAAAGCCTACTTGTGTAAACTGTTTAAGAGTTCATAGTATATAAAAGAGTAATACCAGTATAGAATGATAAAAAAGTAGTTAACTTTTTATTTTTATCTGCTTCTTTAATTTGTTTTCTCAATATATCATCTTCAGTAATATTTTAAAATAAATTACAATATAAATCTTTTAATTCATTTGCTTTGGACCATTTTAAAGAATTTGCATCCCAACATTGTTTAATTATATTTAAAATTGGTTGGAAAATATTGTAATCAGATTTTGGTCTAAATCCTTTACAAATTCGAATAGCTAAGAATCCATCATGAGTAAGGTTGCTTGCCGAAACCTAGGGGTTTAGGCAAGATGGCGTTTTGCCGAAAAGCGAAATTCTGCCGAAACTATATTAAAGTTATATTAAAAAACTGGCGAAACTTTGGAGAAAGGCGAAACTGCCGAAACTTATTATAAATGCCGAAACTGCCGAAACTCTGCCGAAACTATAATAAATCTATAGTAAAATTTTGACGAAACTAATCGTAGGATTTTGAAGAGGTTTAGACAAGCAACCTTAATCATGAGCAATATTATAATAAGAGGAAAGTCCTGTACAAACTTCATATGCAAGAATTCCAAATCCATAAATATCACTTTTTTGAGTATATTCTTTTTCTTTTAAAACTTCAGATATTACATAAGGTAATACTCCATATACTTCTTTATATTCATTTTAAGAAGGTTTTGTATTTATTGATTGATATAATCCTAAATTAACAATTCTAACAAAATCATTATTATATTTTAATACATTACTATAATAAAAATCATGATGAATTAATCTACACTTATGAATATCTGCAAGTCCAATTGCAATCTTATATAAAATATCCAGCTTTTCTAACCAATTTATTGAATTAAAACTATTATTTAAATATTGTCTTAAACTACCATGTGTTGTATGATTCATTACCATCATAAAATTATTAGATTCTGGATCTTTAATAATGCTATAAAAGTTACCTATATATGTTGTTAAATGAACCATAAAAGCCATTTCAATCTAAAGGAATTCATAATTATGAATTTAGTTAATTTAGTATTTGTAAAAGGACAATATCTAGAAATTAATTAATTAATAAATAAGTAACTTACTTCTCTTAAAAAATCAACTGTAATATCCTGTAAGTTATATATACATTTTAAAGCAACCAGAAAATTTTCACATATATCAGCATTATGGTTTTTATTTCTTATTCATTGATTATTTTCATAATTCCATTCTGAAATAAATCCATCTTTTCAAATTGCTTCATAATTCATAAATAGTTCCAAATCCTCCTTTGGCCAAATATTTAACATTTTCAAATCTATTATATTCAATCCACTCAAAACTTCCCCAATAATTAAGTTGTGCTTTTTGAATAAACTTATCAATTTCATGATTTCCACTAGTCCAATTTTTGAAATTTTGTTGAATGATACATTGACACCAATTATAAGCAGTTTTATATTCTTTGCATAAACCATTCCTTTTATACAGGTATTTTAATTTTTCATTTAATATTAGTTTATCAATTAACAAACTTTGTTCTTCAGTTAAATTTTTATTGTTAAAATCTTTTATTTGTTCAAGTACATCATCGCTGAGCTTAAATTCTTCATATTGGATTGATGAATGAGACATTTTTATGTATAAACAGAATGAAAAGGTTTTTTTTTCGGAGTTTATTATGACAAAAAGTATGCAAATGTCAATAAAGAATAAAATGATGTGGCCATGACACGTAACTATTACACATTAATACATTCTTTCATCTTATTAAAACAATAACTGACACTTATTATCGACAAGTGCAGATTTTTGAAAATACAATTATTAAATATAATAAGAAATATTTATTTTTACAATAAAACAATATTTATTAATTGTTACTTAATTTTTGCCATATAGTATAATACTAGATTTGACGTAAATAAATCAAATTTAGAAGAAATATTACGAAGTATAATAGGCATGGAAATTTCCTTTTGATAATTTAAAAATCTTTTAAAACGTATAAAACGTAATGAAACGAACTTTAAAATCAAGTTGATACCACAAGTATTAGTTTGTTAAGTAAAACAGCGGAGAAATTTTCTGCTCATTCTAAAAACATATCTCTTTAAACAAGTTTGAATTAAGAAATGTCGTTAATCTATGATTCTAATTTATCATTTTATCAAATTATCTCATAATCGTAATACAGTAATGATTTTACCAGATATAATTAAGGTCCTGCTGTTCAATTGATAAAAGAAAGACATATTGATGTTACTAATGTGGCTTGTCTAAAGTAATTATTATCCTATTATCCAAAGGTCTTGGAATTGTTGGCCAGATCCTAAAAATTCTAAAGCAAGATCAGCCGTGGTCTTAGCTTGTTGTGCTATAGGAATCGGATTGGCTTATAATTTCCGTCAGTGAAACCCTTTTAGTTACTATGGAGAATTATTATTTTGACGATAGAAATATTGGTACAATACTTTCAATTCTTTAATTAATTATTCGGATCATTCTAAAGATCTTTATCAATCTTATGTTCATGGTTCGTCAACGATAATCAATGATACTTTCTTGTCATATCCCCAAGCCTTCCTCGAAGATTCCACAAATAATTACAAATTACAAGAATAGTAGCACAGGTCAAAAGGTTCTCAGGCTCTGAAGTTTAATTTTAAGTGAATATATCTTAGTCAATATTTAATATACAAATGATAAGATATTTGATAATATATTTCGGGTAACACTTTTTGAAATGATATTGACAATTCTAGTAGATGTGATTTGTGCATTGTGCAAGTTGATTAAATAATAATATACTTAGCCGCAAATTAAAAATTTTCTGATTGTATTTATTTTTTATTCTTTGATCTGTTTTATTTACACGAATTACACGAACTACGCGTTTGTTAAGAAATTATTCAAAATTATCCTTTTTAAAAATTTTCCGTTCTAACTCCGCCTATTATTATTAAAAATTTTTTGATAGAACCTAAAAGGAAGTCATTAGCCATATACATCTAAGCCATAATATTAGATCAAAAAATTTTTACATATTTATAAGCCATACTTTTTAACCCTCCTGATTTGTTACGTCAGGGAAAAAAACCCCTTGATCTTTCCTTTGGAAAGATTACTAGAAAAAACATACGGCAATAAGCCATCATTTTAGTTTTAAATTTATTTTTTGTAAGGAAAGGCTAAGTTTTTATTTTGATCAATCTTAAAATTTGTTAATAAAATTCATGGCTTTTTTCGGAAAAGCCACATTACAGTTTAAAAATGATTAATTTTATTAATCTGTACGAAAGATAATACATTATTATGATCAAATACATGGAAAACAAAAACAAACGAAAATAGATATATAAGCATGCCATTTTTTCTCCTCTTTTCTTTCAAAATACCAATTAAAAAATTATTTATTTAAACCAAAAACTTAAATAAAAATAGCAAAAGAATGAAAATTTTAGCTAAATTTATTTTACCCTTTGCAGTATTTACTGCTCTTGTCAGTTCTTCTCCTCTACCACAAGAACCTCCCGCTCCCGGTCCTGCCCTTCCTTCTGGTGGAGAGAAAAAAATTGTTGTAGTAGGACCAGGTCCGGGTCCTTGGTCTGTTGGCTCTGAACAAGTTGCTACTTGGTGGTCTACAGGATTTACTTCAGATGGTTTGTAAAATAAAAGAAAATTTTTATATTTTTTATCTTCATCTTATATTATATTTCTTAAATATTTTGATATTATCATTCTTTAGATCCAATAACTGTCACTACTCATGAGGAAAGTGGTACCACACCAATCTTTAGCGCAGATGTACGTAATGCTTTTAAAATCAATTTGCCTTAAAAAATTCATTTAAACATTAATAAAATTTTTGTTCACAAAAAAATTAGTCTACTCTTAATAAGGGAAGCACACAAATACCAATCGACGATAAATATACACCTGGAACTAATTATGTAACTGAAGTCAGTCTTAAATCAGATCCTTCGATTAAAGGTATTGGCCCAGCCTTCACAGTTACAGGGGGAGGTGGTGGTGGCGTACCTAAAGCAGCACCGGGGCCACCACCTCCACCTGGCGGTCCATCAGGTGGTCCTCCACCACCTGATTCTGCTGGTGGTAAAGAACCTGAACCAAGCGGTAAAGGTCCTGAACCAAGCGGTAAAGAACCTGAACCAAGCGGTAAAGGTCCTGAACCAAGCGGTAAAGAACCTGAACCAAGCGGTAAAGAACCTGAAGTTCCCGGTGGTCCTCCACCACCGCCTGATGCTGGTGGTCCCCCACCACCTGATTCACCCAAAGCTAAATAGAAAGATAATTTTTTAAACTTTTATAGAAGACTAGATTAGATAAAAATTTTTTTTATTTATGTTGTATATCCACAGATAAATATTTTAACCAATTACATTCCTTTATATCTATTTATTAACGATTACGTTCTTTTTATGCGTAATTAATAAAAAAATTTTAATGAAAATTTCATTGTGAATAATATAAGTTGTTTTTGTCGAACTGTGGCTTGTGTATGGCACGAGATATTTAATAACTTTTAAACCAGCCACAAGCAAGGATAAATACAAAGCATTATTGGTGCATTTAGAAGGTGTATTTATTAGATATTTTCTTTCTTAATTATGAGCTATTAATAATGACTTCAGAAAATGAAAATGTAGTTGTGCATACCTGGGAAGACGTTAAAGAGATAGTAGGCAATTATTTAATAATTTTTTTTCTACGTTGAAGTTTTTTATTTAATATATATAACTTATTACTACTAATTTATTAATTTTTATCTTATTCAATTTATCAAAAAAGAATCCGGGTATTTATTTTCTCGTTTTCTATTTTCTTTCTTTCTTTTTTTTTGTTTTTTTTAATAAATTAAAATTTAACGTTTTATTACTTCCAGACGTTTGGAATTATTTTATCGCAGTAAATCAGAGCAATTAAGATATCGTGCATACAGAGAAAGAATAAAAAAAGAATATGGTTCATTAGACAATTATATTTATCAAAATGTTTTAAACTGGCCCAAAGAATCTTCCCCAAACGACCCTTCATTACAAGAATATTTTTCATCAAAAATTCCTTCAACTCATTATAATCTTCGATTAAACGATTTTCCTTATACAATAGATTCATCTATTTCTCATTATGTCCTTTGGTCAAGATTACCTTTCAGAGATCCAAATGATCGTAATGTAAAAGATGATATTAATTTATTTTTAAAAGAAAATTTTCCTGGAAATGAAGAATGGTTGTTTTTTATTAATCCTCCTCAATTACAAAGTATTAAAAATATTTGGCATGGTCATATTTTTGTAAGAGATATTCTTAACACCCCTAACAAAACCTAATTTTGAAAAATCGAGTAAAGAAAAAGCGAGAAGACATTTTAATATATTAGAATTTATTAATTTTTACTTAAACTTAAAATTGTCAAAAAAAGGAAAAAAATATTAATCCAATGACAGACCTTTATTGGTATTTACATAATTTTAATTAAGCTTAAAGTAAAGATTAGATAAGAAATCTAGCATATAAGAAAATAAATTACATAACGAAAAAGCTTATATAAAAGAATTGTATGCTTATTTAATTAATCATACGTAAATTATCAATATTATAATAAAGAATAAATATAAAATAAAACCCTTAAATGAATTGTTATTATTTATTACTTTTCCGTCCAAATTAACCCTTATAATTCTACTTTAATTCTAATTATAAAATATATACATAATGCAATAAAAATGGTAAAAATGATGAATGTTTTTTTTTTGTAAGAAAAATATATATACACAAATATAAAACAGGAAAAAATTAAAATTAACGATATTGTTTTTAGAGTTGAATAAAGGAAAGGAGATTATCTAATAAAAAAATAAACGACAAGAATTATAATAACATAAATAACATACAAAACCACCAATAATTAATGGATATAATAGTTGTGAGGATGACCACAAATCTAACAAAATTGGCCATAATAAATGGAATTATCATTACAAGTTAATTTTTCTGTAAGAGTTAATTTTAAGAAAAATTAATTTAATAAAATAAATAGAATAGATAATTACTATATTAAGAATACTTTACTCTTTTAATGCCATTATTATTAGCATTATCATAAAACTTCAATCGTTCGTTAAAATATTTTTCAAGTCCATTTGCACATTTGACATAAATTGTTCCTTCTGCGTTGTAAATTCGACAATTATTGAAAATCAACCGCACATCCTGGATATAATCATCAAGTGTCTTATAGCAATTATTCTCAACTTTGGACTCGATCGTCATCAAATCTAAAAGAATCAATTATATTTAATTTCTTTTTTTTTCAGGAAAATGAGACATAATAAAACTTATTTACCCATCGGAGCTTTGATAATCTTATAATAATCCGGGACTTCATCTCCATTCACTGGAATTCTAAATGGCCATGATTTTGCATGCTTTTTTAACTCTGCTGTAATGCTTGCCATTATGCTGCGATTTGTTTTTTTGTTTCCGTGTGCTCTGTAATTCGAATTAGAGGGTAATTTAAATAAATTGTATAGCAAACTTGAGATTCATCTATAACTTACCGTGCCTCCATTTCTGGATCCCATCCAGACTCTTTGATGCCCTGGATTGTCATCGGGTCAACGTGCTTGACTCCGTTCTTATGGAATAATTGAAGTCCTGGATATTTAGTAGATTGTTTAAGGCGTTCGGCAAGCTTAATTTGAATTGCCTATATAGATTATACATATATTTCATTAAATCAATTGAAATTAAATAAAAACCGAAATTAAGACAAATTAAGACGTACCCTCTTTTGTCTTGCAAGAATCTCTTGAAGACGAGTATATTTAACCTTAGGAATCATCTTGCACTGTTGATTAAGATAAAACTAATGTCAATAAGAAAAAATTAGTATAAAAAAAATATAGTAATAACCAACCTGCATAATCGTGGCTTCGTCATAATCTTTAATGAAGCCAACCCACAGGCGACGTTCAAGGGTAATCTCTGTTGTAAACCCCTGTAATTGTAATAAAAATTGATCAATAGTGGCTGAGTTGATCAAAAAAAAAAAAAAAATTATATATATATATATATATATACAGTATATAAGAAAGTTATTAAAATAACAAAAGGGTCCTGGAATTTTCTCAATTTCTCCAAAAAAAAAAAAAAAAAAAAATAGTAATAATATTAGCTTACATTTTTCTTAAAAAAACCCATTGCATGATTATCAGCATATGTCATAAGATATTTTACATTTTCATTGTCTTTGAGATGGTCCTTGAGGTGATTCATCATATGTGAGCCGTATCCCTAATTAAAAAAAATATTATCATATATCCTTTCAAAATAAGTTGATATATAAATGTACCTTGGCCTGTTCGTCTGAATTTACAACGCAAAAAACAATCTCCGCCAGATTATTTTCTGGAAACAAGCGGAATGTGATACCACCTACAACCCGCTTTTTTTCTTTAACAATTGCCATTGATTGATGTTTACTGTTTAAAAGAAGATTGATCATAGTTTTGAACAATATATCCATTAAATGTTAAAAAAAAAAATTTATTCTATGATAAAGAAAAAGAAGGTTACTTGTCATATACAAGGCGCGTTATGTATTCAGCTGGCATGTTAGGCAACTGTGTACGAATGCAGTTTTTTAAACTTGTTAAAAGCAATAAATTGTCCATAGTACCATTGTTTGTTATGACCCTCATCTCAATAATTCCATCTCTTTCTTCAATAACTGCGGGCTTTTCTGGTATTGACAAGGGTTCCTCAAGTTCCTTGTAAATATTAGTTGCCGAATCCTCGCCGTTCTCTAACTTACGCTTTGAAGGTTTATTGGTTGTTGTATCACTTCCCGAGGAAAGCATCCTATGATAAAAAAGACCTTAATATATTATTCGGTTATATTAATATTAGGAAAATGTTTATAAATGCTATATACCTTCGCAAACTTCGGATCTCTTCGTCTTGGTAATCAAAGTCCAAAAGCTTTCCTTTAGATTCTAAGATCTTATCAATTCTCATGGCGATTTCTATTCTTCGTTCTAATTCTTCTGAACTTGAATTACTATCATTACTTTCTCCATGATAAACAACTCTGTGTCCGCATGCGCACAGGTCTGCTCGACCAGTGTTATGGGTTTTAGGTTTCCACCCAAGACAAGGACAGCGCTCTGGCATGCTCCCAGAACCACCTTCGAAAGTGCACGGGATATTCCTACCGATCTTCAGTAATTTTTCAAAAAGTGATAATGATTGGACAGGTTTTGATGCGGGTGGGTATATGTTTTGGTAATTCATTGTGTTTTAATATAATAACTAATTAATTTTTTTTGAATTTCGTATAAAAAAAGCTTGAAAGTCGTAATATCACGACTATTTTTATGAGAATTACAAAAAAAAAATACGGATGATTTAGAAACAATTGTTTAATGGAACAAATGATTTTTTTTTATAATTAAATCAAATAAATCTTCTAATTGTATACTACTGTTAATTCAGCTTTTATTTAAGAATATTGCACTCACGAGAATAAGAGAAAGTGTGTTGTGGATAAATAATTTGGGATAATACTTAAAAACTGATCAATAAAATGTTCACTGTAAATAAATGTGGATGTTGAAATGAATGAATTCGTTTTTTTTTTTATAAATTGAAACATCGTTACACAATCGATCATTATACGATTAAGTTTTATGATATCATCATACTCCAAAAAAAAAAAAATGTCTCAATTTCTTTCTAGTAAAAGATTTCCAAATTTTATAAATCATCAAAATATTAATTCTTTGTTAATTAGTACAAGTTATATACGAAAAGTTACAAATTTACAACACATTATTTATAAACAATATGCCACATCAGCTTTTAAGAAACCAATTTACATTACTACACCAATTTTTTATGTTAATGCAAGTAAGCTATTTTCATTTCTTTATTTTTGTAATTAAATTTTTATTATTTTTATTTTATTTACTTGGGATTTTTTTTTTAAAAAAAAGTCCCACACATAGGACATTTATATTCAGCAGTAATTGCTGATAGTCTAAAACGATATTATGAATTGAAAGGTCATAAAGTTATTTTTAGCACAGGAACTGATGAGCATGGATTGAAAGTAAATCAAGAAATATTTGTTAGGAATTATATTATCGAAGGATTTCTCTATTTAAATCATATCAATTTTATTAGATTAAGCAATCTGCAGAGAAAAGTAAAATGAATCCACAAGAATTTTGTGACCAAGTTTCTAGTAAATTTAAGGTAATTAAAATTAATATCTATTATATTATTCTTAATAGTTACATAATTATTTTAGTTACAAATAGGAACTTTTTGATATCGCCAACATCAGTTATACAACCTTCATACGCACAACAGAACAAAGACATAAAGATGCTGTAAAATATTTTTGGGTAACTAATTACATCGTTATGAATATATTTTGTATATAAAGATATTAAAGTTTATTGTCATTTTCTAACAGAAGTGTCTTATGAATAATGGATTCATCTATAAAGGCAGATATAAAGGTTGGTATTCAGTATCTGATGAGGCCTTTTATAATACTTCTCATGTTCAAGAAATTCAAAATCCTGATTCAAAAGAAAAACTCATGGTTAGTTTTTTGTTGATAAAAAAATAAAATTGACGTGCCTTTAATAGTTTAATCGATTTTTTAGATAGCAACTGAATCTGGTCAGTCTGTAGAATGGACAATAGAAGAAAATTATAAATTTCGCCTTTCAGAATTTCAAGATAAATTAAAAAGTTGGTTAGAAGAGAATCCTCAAGGTATTATTATATTTGTTTGTTCACTCATATATGTTGGTATTATGCTAACATAATATCATTTTTATTTTTTTTAGTCATTATGCCGATTAATAAATTCAATGAAGTCAAAGCATGGATTGATAGTGGATTATCTGATTTATCAATATCTAGACCACATTCTAGACTAGATTGGGGAGTTGATGTTCCGGAGGATTCAGAACAAACAGTTTATGTTTGGCTGGATGCTTTGATCAATTATCTTACAGTAACAGGATTTCCTTGGCCACATGATGATTTGAATGGATGGCCCGTAGATATCCATGTAATAGGAAAAGATATTTTGAAATTTCATGCAGTATATTGGCCTGCATTTTTAATGGCGGCAAACTTGCCACTTCCTCAAAAAATTTTAGCTCATTCACACTGGACGATGGAAAAGCAAAAAATGTCAAAAAGTCGTGGTAATGTAGTAGATCCAATTAAAGTAATGAATGATTATGGAGTTGATACAATTCGTTACTATTTAATGAGAGATGGTGGAATTGCAGATGATGGAGGTAAATTTTAAATTGTTTTTTCTATAATAATTTCTACATGTAAACTTACTTAGCTATTATATGTAGATTATTCTGATGAGAACATAAAAGTACGATATCGAAAAGACTTGGCAGGGCAACTTGGAAATCTTGTATCACGTAGTATTTCTCCTGCATTAAATCCTTCTTCTATTGTTCCATCAGCACCTAAATTTCTCGGTGAAATAGCCGAAAAGGATGCTAACTTGTATTATAAATTACAAAGCCTTCCAGGTAATATTCATTTCATATTAGAGTTTATGAGATAAAGAATATAATTTTTTTTTATTATTTCACAGATCTCGTAGATAAACATTTCCAAAATATGGAATTTGGGAAAGGATTGTCATTTATATTTGACGCTATTGCTGAGGTAAAAGTTATTTTGATTATATGCTAACAAATAAAAATTTCCCTTTATTAAAAGGATTATTTCATTTCAATAGGCTAACAAGTATTTCACAGATAATGAACCATGGAAATTAAAAAATGACAAGAATCAAAAAGAAGCTGTTAATAATATATTGTTTTACTCGGTAGAAACAGTAAGAATTTCGGGAATTTTGTTACAACCAGTTATGCCAACAAAAATGTCTGAATTATTAGATAGACTTGGAATACAAAAAGATCAAAGGACTTGGGAATATGCTAGATTTGGTAGAGGATGGGATTTGAATAATAATCATAATAGAAAGATTAAATTTCATCATGATGAAAAAAGTGTTTTATTTCCAAAATTTAAATTAACAAAATAAAAAAAATTTTATCTGAAGTGTATATGCATTTTTAAATAAATTTAATCTTTTTTTCTAAGTAATTGTAATTAAATGTGTGGACATTGTTGCATTCCAATGATATTTCTATATCCAGTAAGTATTTCAAGGATAAATAGATGGTTTTTCGAAAGAACAGTTTATGTTACTATACATGAAGTTTAATATTACTAAGTTATTCAAATGAAAGGTATTTCTATTAAATAATTAATCTCCTCTTATGGTTATAGGTGATATTATAGGTTTGAACTTTATGCAGTGATAATGAGGATGTATTATATTTTGGACAGACTTGAGGTCATTAAGTATAATAGTCAGTAGTTTATTCTAATAAATTTTTCTCCTACAATCAAAAATAACCAATATGAGCAAATTTCTATTATATAAATACATTAGATATATCATTATAATTTATATATTGCAATATATAGATTAATTATGCACTTTGTAAAATAATGTAAAATATAAAAATTGTATATAATTTTTATAAAATATTTTACTTAAACACAACTAATAAAATAAAAAAAAAGTAAATTTCATATATATATACTTCAAAATAATAATTTAATTGAATTAATTGAATTCTAAATCTATATATTAGTAATATGAAAATGTATTTCTGGGCTACCTGTAAAATCACATAAATTCCACTAGTAAAAAATTCCAGAAACCTCTCAAATCCTCCAATCTGGCCAATTTTCTAATATATAGTAAAAGTATACTCTTTCAAAAATCCAACTAGTAAAAAATCCTTAAAACTTCTAATAGTAAAAAAAAATTCCTAATTTTTTTTTATTTAGAAAATCCTCTAAATTTCATAAGAAAGCAATAAAAAGTATAGTAAAAATAAGCCTTTACAGCTTTTCAGAGACATTTCACTAATAGCAAAAAATAACTTCTTTAGAAAATATTTTAGAATCCATATAAAATAAAAATAGCTATCCAATTTTATATAATAAAATTAGACCAAATTCAGAAACTAAGTGATTTAAGCAAATATCTAAAAATCTAAATAAATTAAAATTAACTTTTATATAAAATCAATTAGACAAAAAAATAACTCTTACAGCCAACAGAACTATACTTTTTGTCAAAATGACAAAATACTAATTAAATTTATTTTGATAGACGTAATGTATTTTGACAGACGTAATTAATTCATAGTAATTTTATAATAAATAGTGAATTTGTCTGTTCGCCAAAATATGACGCGGAGAAGTATAAACAGAACTAAAAATAAAAAAAATATAAATCAGTTCACAATCCATAAAAGTTCTGCTAATATAGTAAATTAAGAAAAATCCAGAAAATTATTTTCATATCACAGAAATTAAAAAATCAAAATAAACAAAAGATTAAAAATATAATTAAATAAAAGTTATAACAAAAAAAAAAATCTAACTACCATACTATAATATCTAGTATTTCAAACAAATCAATTTAAATTAAGCTAATAAGCCAGTTATAATTGATTAAATATCAGTTGTATTAAAATTTGTGGCTAATAAGTTTTATTTGTAAAATAATTAACAAATTTACTATTAAAAATGTAGATTATTGGATCAAAACAGGCACCAGGAGTATTTAATGATAGAATGCATAGAATATATAAAGAATGGGTAAATAATGGAGAAATTATGATTTATATTGATGATGTTACCATCTTCGAACCAAGAATCGTCACAAATCAGGTTGAAGCTGTTATAGGAGAGTGGAGACCTTTAATTAAATAAATAAAAATACTAACAAAAATAAATAAAACTATAATTATTAATTGTTTATTAATCAACTAATTTAAAATTAAATATTAATTATAAGATTAATGTAATTTTATTATAAATCAATTAAACAAAAAAAAGGATATAATTAGTAAAATTTATTTTAAATTTTATTATTAGTTTGTTTAATTGATCATTTTACTAGCAAAATTTACTATGATTTTTTGCCCTTTTTTTAATTTCCTTATAGATAAACTGTATAATAATTTTAACAAATTTGAATTCTATATTACCAAAAATATTCTATTAAATTTTAATAAAGTTTTTTATTAAAAAATCAAAAAATCATAAATTATATTTAATTCATCAAAAGTCAACACTTTGAACTTTGAATTTAATGTATAATCATTTATAATAATATAAAAAAAAAAGTATTGCTATAATTTTTCTTCTATTCAAATAGAATTTATAGAATTTGAAATTTGAATTTAAACAACATATATAATTTATAGTATTATTGTTTGTAAATTTATAATTAAACCAAATTTGTAGCGATTCTTTTGAGCATAATAATAATAATAAAAAAAAAATAATAATAATTAAACCAAAGTTTTTTATATAGATTAAAATGAAAGTTTATTCTGAAAAAATAAGAAAAGCTTAATTTTGAAGTACATTATAATGAAATTGGTTTTGATTTTTTATTTGCAGTAATAGTGAAATTTAATCCTAAAGATGAAATGACATCAGTCATTATCACCATCATTCTTTTTTTGCCTAATAATTGATAATGCAGAAAAGATGATGATCTAGTCCATAATGTCTCCATGTTTGTTCATATTAACCACATGTTCTATCTGATTAAAAAAAGTTAAGATTATTAAAGATTATCAAACAAAAAAAAATGTGATCGAGACGGAAAATATATGTTCACGTGGATTATTCCGATATTGTTTAAAGTTTCGTTCCTCGTAATTTTGTTGTATCGAATAAAAAAGGTTTAAATTAATAATGATTGACATAACCATTATACTCTTGAGTGAAACTCTAAATTTGCAAATCCCTTTTCAATTGTCGCCTACTATAAATAATAAACTCGGGCAAATCTCTCATTGCTCATGTGCTTAAATTAAATAGTCAGACGCAGTGCGCAGTACCCTCTTTACGAACTAAATCAAAATAAAGTAACCGATTTATAATTAAATTAGGCTCATGCCTTTTAATGAGGAAGTGAGGACAAAAAAAGAAGCATCCAAGAAGAAAAAAAAAAAAGGATCAAAAGAAGAAATGTAATTATATATATCTAATATATATATATATACAACTATTGATATTAAAAAAAAGGACTTTTTTTTTAAAAAAAAAAAAAATTAAAACTATTTAAGAAATTATAATATAATAAAGGATTTGACAAGAGCATGAAAATATGGTTTAAATAAATTTTTAATGTTAAATTAAATATCTACGTATATGTTTAAAATAAAAATTATGTAAATAAATGATTGATTGATTTATAATAAACCAACTTCACGTAAATTATTTTGAATAATAATATCATTAACAGCAGCCATAACAAACTTAATTTGTTGTGTATCAGTGGCACAAGTAAAGTGTGTATAAATTTGTTTAACATCTGATTGATTTAATGATACGAAGCGATCTAATATATAATCACAAGCTGCTTCATAATTATTTCCACCTTCATAATCTGGGAAAAATTTATTCATTGGTGATCTTGGTAATTTTTCTCTGAATCTATCAATTTTGTTTAAAAACAAAATTATTGACGTTTTAACAAACCATCGTGAATTACAAATTGAATCAAATAATGTTAAAGCTTCTTGCATACGATTCTAAAAAAAAGAAATTAAAACATCAAAAAAGAGAAATTAAGTAATTTAATATTTTGATAAATTAAATACATACCACAGTCTCATCTTCCATTAATAATTGATCATATTCAGAAATAGCTACCAAGAATATGATGGCTGTGACATTTTCGAAACAATGAATCCATTTTTTACGTTCAGAACGTTGACCACCAACATCAAACATACGATAAGTGAGTTCTCCGATCAAGAATGTGGTTTCCGTAATACCAGTTGTCTTTACGCGAGATCTAAGCACATCTTGATCGGAAGGGAGATAATCTGGCTTAGCAATAGCATCGATTGTATCAAAATAGCTAAAAAAAAAAAAGGAAATATATAATTAGAACGATTTTTTTTTTTAAAAAAATAAATATATATACATATATATAAAACCAACATACTATTTTGCGGAATCATTCAATTGATATTCTCGTGAACGATTGAACGCTTCTTGAACACCACTATCAGTCCATAAAATTTTAATAGCTATGGCAACTTCTTGAGGTAAATGATCACCTTCAATTTGATTGGGTAAATTCAAAATAGTATCGGAATGTTTCTTATTGTTTCCATCACGAAATTTTATTGACATAGTTTCCATTGCTTCTAAAATGACCCTCATAGATTGTACAGTATTAGAAAAGATTATTTCTTTAAAAGATTCTCTTTCTTCTGGGGAATAACCACCATCATGAATGAGTTTCATCTGCTTAAGAATCGTTGATTTTCCGGATTCACCAGCACCTATTTTAAGAAAAGTGAAATTTGTAAATTATAAATATAATTTAGGTTAAGGCTAATTTTATCATATTGTGGCGCATCAACTACTGCGCCATGTGCGAAATTCACCAAATTCAAAAGTTCATTCATACCAAGTAAAAGCATTTTAATTTCATTGCGCATCTTAAGCTTATCTCTTCTAAGTTGACTTTCAATCTCTTCATTTATCCTTTTCCCTTCCTGTTCTTCCTGACTCATACAACAACCCATCTTTATTTATTTATTTATCTATCCTTTCTTTTTTTTTTTTTTTTACATATATATATGTATAAAAAAAAAAAATTAGAAAAAAAAAAATAATAATTCGAGATAATTTGGAAAAAAAGTTAAAAATTTTTTTTTCCGGAATAATGAATGGAAACTTTTTTTTATTTAAGGAGAAAATAATGAGTTAAAATTTTCAAATTTTTTTTTTTTTAAACTCAAATCGACAAGTGGGGAAGACAGTTTTTTGGATGAATAAAAGGATATAAAATTAAATTGATTTTTAAATACACAAAAGTACACACATACCAGATACACAATAATAAAAAAATCAAATTACAACGCGGATCATTTATTTGTTATAAAAACTTTTTTAGTGCTTTGGTAAGGGAATTATTATAGATTTATTAATACAGTAGTAATACTGTAAGAGTAATACACAAATATAAATATTATTGTTTATTGTTTCACCTAATAAAAAGGATATCATTCGTACTCGTTCGAAATAACGGAAATGAGTACTCAATTTGGTTCAATTTAATTGGGCCCATTTTACTCACTTATTAAAATTGTAGTACGAATTTTATGTAATACCCGGAGTCAAATTATTTGATCGGAAACACGTTTTTTTTTTTTAATATTCCTGTTAAAGTAATAAATTATATCGATCAATTGTATTATGAAAGAAATCTTTTTAAAAGAAAGAATTTTTTTTTATTGGATGTGCAGAAAATGACAATGTTTATTCTTTTTTTTTTGTCTGCCAAAAAATATATAAATGGCGTGTTAATATAAAAAGAAAACAAACAGAAGTGATGATATTCTTAAATAATTATTTGTTGATTTTTCTATTGCGATTTCTCATCTACGGAAAAATCTTTCAATAAAAAACATTGCACAGACTAATTTTTTTAAAGAAAAAATGTGGAATTGTGGAAATTAAAAATAAAAAAATTTTCTTTTTAAAATGAATTCATAATTTAATTTTCATTATTTAAACGGTCTTCGGTTAACACCGTACTAATTTCGCACACAATTTCGGTTTGAATTTTTTTACGGGGAAAAGTTTTACATAATTTGCAATTCTTTTTATAAAAAGATGTTTTTGACATGGTTACAATTTTTAAAAATCATTGTAATATACTTGCATGAATAGTAAATAGTAATACACTGATTACAACCGGTAACCATTCTATAATTGTTTATTTTAGGAAGTTCGTACAAAATTAAAATCACAATGAACCAATCTAAATTTATTTATTTTAATGAAATTAAACCTCAAAAGGAAATTCTTATAAATAAAGTTCTTCCATCATCATAATAATCATAAATAATATAAAATATAAGAAATGTATTTTCTACCGGATTTCAGACCATTATTTATCCAATCCGTCACAAAAATCTTGAATTATTATTTTACCGGTAATTTCAGGTTTTTTTTTTTTTT